AACAATTAAATTTTTTTTCTTTATATGCATATATAGCTATTGTTGACTTATTTTATTTAGGATTCATTTGTTAGTATGTATTGTACTATATTATTCCCTCTATCCTAAATTAATAGTCTTTTTTATTTAGAATTTGTCACGTAATAATACTGTAGTTGTTTTTTATTTTAAAAAAGATAAATATTTTTCTTATTTTAACCTTATAATTATTTCCTAACTTTAATTATCCATCATCTAATTAAAATAGTTGTTTGTTTTTATTTATTTTTTAAGGGTAAATAGGTGAAAATATAAATTATCTCTAAATCCTTAATCTAGAAATAAAATAAAATAAATGTCTATTATTCTAAGATAGAGGAAGTATAGTAATAAGTTTTTTTTTTATCTTTTATTATCCGTAAAATATATAAAATATAAAACAAAATTAGTGAAAAAATATAAAAATTAATTAAAAGTATTAAATTTATACATTTTTAGATAAGGCATTCTACGAAAAGATCTATGTAAAGTGTTGTCAAATGAAGCTTTAGATTAATTTTTTTTTGTCAATTGTCATTAATTTATGATATTGAAAAAAATTAAGATGTTCTAATAATTAAAATATTAGGAATGATAATGAAAATATTAAAATATCTTTAAAAAAATCAACATACAAAAAAATTCATACAAAATATTTAAATAATTTTATAAGAAATACTAAATTTCTTGATTTTTATTTTTCTAAATAAAACTACATAAGGAGGAGGTATTAAGACAACTTAAAAGAAAATAATTTCCACCGTGTTTTGTTTGTTTTGACTTGAGACCTCCACTTGTCTCCTTGAACAGGTTATTCTGTTAGTCAAACTGAAAAGTTGACTCGTTTCGTCTTCGCAGATTTACCAAACTACCACCTGCTTTTGGTTTAGGACTTTAGGGAGCCTACCTTATCCGCAAAACAGTCAACACAAATCAGAAATAGCTTTCTGTTGGAGGAAGCTCGTAAATTCTCAACGACAATGGCGGTGCTGGCTTCTTTGAACTCTCCATTGCTGCCGGCCGCCTCTTCTTCTCCTGATTCTTCCGCTAAGAATCCCCTTTTTACAAGGCGAAGAGCGATGGTCGCTGGTTCCAGTGTTGTCGTGGGTTCTTTGCTAAACCTCTGCAATCCCAACTCGAAACCCCTGTCTTCTCAGTCCGCCATTGCGCAACAGCAGAGAGAAGAAAAGGATGAACTTGATCAAGAGGAAGATAGAATCGTTCATCTCTTTCAGGTTAACAAAATTTTTACATTTCTCCGTTTCCCTCCTTTTAATTTGATGTTGAATAATTCCATGGGATTAAAAAAAAAAAAGAACTTTGTTGAATTCCTCCAGGAAGCTTCACCCTCAGTTGTTTTCATTAAAGGCCTTGAGTTGGCTAAAATTCCAAAGACCTCTTCTGAGGAAGTCATGCTAACTGAAGATGAAAATGCAAAAGTTGAAGGGACAGGTTCTGGCTTTATCTGGGATAAGTTTGGCCACATTGTGGGTATTCTCCTCTTCTACTTTCCCATTTTATTTCTCATTCAATACTATATTATTGCTGCTTTTTTCTGAATGCTTTCTTTGATTTTTTGGTGCATTTGGTTGGCCAAGCAGGAGTTGAATTTGAAAATTTTAATCTTCCCTCTGGGATAATTTTGTTAATAAATATTGACCCCTGAGCAGTTAGGCATTTGGTTCTTGATCTTCTCTATGACAGGTTACTAATTACCATGTTGTGGCTAAACTGGCAACGGATAAAAGTGGTTTACAGCGTTGTAAGGTTTTGTTCCATCTAGTTGTTTTTATACTTTTAGTCCACTTCTAGTTCTACCAAGGCATGAACTACTTTGTTCCAAGCATGATGATAAAATGGGGAAGGTAATGATAATTGCTTGGTTTTCCTTAGGTGTTTCTCAGTGATGCTAGAGGCACTAGCTTTTACAAGGAAGGGAAGATTGTCGGGTTTGATCCGGCTTATGACTTGGCCGTTTTGAAGGTATTAAGTCCAAGTGCCATTTCTTGTCCACATTGTTCAGATATTCAGATAAACAATTACATTATTAGATATGTGGTTGATTACACTTAAACGCACATTAATCTCAAAGCTAGTCAATGATAAATGCAGTGTATGAAATCCGTCCATTAAATGGATATACACATTGCTTTTGCATACAGTAATACAGTTAGAGTGATTTGTAGTGTAATTTTGCTGCAAAGCAACTGCTTGTAAATGCTTAATATTGTGTCATGTGTAGGTTGATGTTGAAGGATACAAGTTAAGGCCAGTTGTTCTTGGTACTTCTCATAATTTACGTGTGGGACAGAGCTGCTTTGCCATTGGGAATCCTTATGGCTACGAGAATACTCTAACAACAGGGGTAACTCTTCACACTTCACTCAATTACTTGAAACCTTTGCAACCAATGTTGGAACCTTTCAATGGCCCCATAGAAATCATTAATATTTGTGAATTGTGAAGCAGTTTCTATATATCAGGAACTGATTTAACTTGCTGCATGTTATGGGAAGGTAAGAAGATTTATAGTATTGGAACAAAAGATAGACACCACTTGAATGTTTCAATGGAGTACCTTTTGCTTTCTTTTTACAATATGTGAAAGTGTAGTCACAAACAAATTTAGACCTGTCTCCTTTACTACTAGATCAAGACTATACTCTTATTTAATCTGAATGCTCCAGGTGGTCAGTGGATTAGGCAGGGAGATACCTTCGCCAAATGGAAGGGCCATTCGTGGAGCAATCCAAACGGATGCAGCTATTAATGCAGGTAATAATTGAGCCTTATTATTCCTCATCGTATCCCATTTAATTGTTTATTTGGACCTAAAAACAGTTTGCTAAGCCACCAATATCATACAAAAAGAAAAGAAAATACTATCACCAAAATGTCCGTTGTTATAGTCAACTCGTTATACATCTTGGCACAGGGTAGTGAAATTAGCCACCTTGTTGCTAAGGCATTAGTAATGGTTGGTGGTGATTTCAGTCTATAGTGAGAAAATAAACTAATCAAAATCTTCTCAAATTTGTTTGGTTCAACTTTTCTTCGTTTAGGATATAATCTGCTAGATCATTGCTGCTTGCAGGAAATTCAGGAGGACCACTAATTGATTCATACGGCCATGTTATTGGTGTTAATACAGCAACTTTTACTCGCAAAGGTGAGGAAAATGCTTCATAATTTATTTGTTTCTCTCAATTTTTACCTTCAGAGGAACAATTTGTATCATAAAATTTCCAGATAGAATGTGGTATGCCAGCAGATACCACTTCTACGAAATGAAAGGCTATATGAGTAGCACATGAGGTTAACATTTTGTATTTTGACCCATTATGGCAAATAAGCTTCAGTGGTAAATTTAATCTGTGGTCAAAATTCTGAATATAATTTTGGTTAAATTGGTGTTTGCAGGGACAGGAATTTCGTCCGGTGTTAACTTTGCAATACCTATTGATACTGTTTTAAGAACTGTTCCGACTCTAATTGTGTATGGAACACCATACAGAGACAGGTTTTGACCGAAGATAAATAAGACAGGTACACTGATGCGATATTATGCTTGCAAATACAATATTTATCTGGTTTTGTTTTACACTTTATTAAGAATAACCAAAGCAAATTCTCGTCATTTCTGTTCTTGTAATTTGTATTCTTTTATGTCATTTCCACTTTTCTACTTTCAAGAGTAACACATGAATGCAATGGACCCATTTTTGAGAAATATTAGCACGTTCAAGGTGCTCATGAAAGACATAAGGTCATTTCTATGAACAGAAGTAGGTAAATGTAGAGATCAACAGAGGAGAAACTAAGCCTGAAAAATTAAGGATATTCAATACCAAATAATATTAATGACAGCAACAATAAATAACAATAATTGGGGAGTGAATTCAATAAAATTTGCCATTGCTCAAGGTAACAAAATATGAAAAACAATGAACAAGGAAATCCACCAAAATGCTGTTAATTCTTCGCTACTTCTTAGATTTTTTGCTGACAGCCAATGTAGGTAGTTTGGCAACGAATCAACACAATTGAGAATTGTATCGATGAGAGATTTATCTTTTACTTGAACAAAATCTGCTAAAATTTCCCTTAAGCTAAAGTACCAAACTGTGCTGGTAGAATGACAATCCATTTGTTGCTCAAACCTCATACTGCCACTGGCATTCATATCAGCTGCCTCAAATTTCTGTGCCTTACGACCTGTAAAACAGAATTCAAATAAATTTGTACTACTAACCTTGACAGCCTTCAATTTAGCACATCTAACAATATGTAACCTTTTGAGTCGAACATTCTCAACTTTTATCCTTTGTAAATGATGACAATTAATGATCCAGAGATTCTTGAGCATCCAGAATTTGGAAATAACTTTATGGAATGTTCCTTCTGTGAAAAGATATTTAAACAAGTTTCCAAACCACAACAACAATCTGACACCTTGATCCTATAAGAATTTCTTGTTTCATAATGAAAAGATATGTAGATGAAGTTTTTCAGACTTGGTGCTGCAAGTTATATGATCTTGAGACAGCTGTGGTGATTTTTATTCCAAATCTGTAGCGTCTTTGATTTGTGAACTTGATATCTTTATTGTTTTGAGTTTGTCACAATGAAAAAGATGTAAATCCTCCAGCAGGGGAAGTTTTGAAAGAAGGGAATGGAACCCTTTGTCTTCAATGGTCCTGGACCGAAAAGGTAAGAATTTCAAGCTATCAAAACCATCAATACTGATGACTGACCAAGGTATGTACTCAGCATTAATGGTAAGAGTCTGCAGGATACTCTGAGATACAATAAGAAACTCCTCAATCTCACTCTCACCATCACGCAAGTAAAGGTAAAGGGTGTGGAGCTTTAGGAGATTAGAAATATGGTCAGAGTTGAAATCTTGACAATATTCGATATGTAAGTCTTCAAGAACAGGCCAATTGTCATTCTTCAAAATGATGGGACCACTTGTTGAGTGGGAAATTCCCACATCGAGTGTGTAAGGAAGAAACTTGTGAGTTAAATATAAAAAATATTACTCCACGTATTGTGAATTGATTTTAAGTTGGATGCAAGTTTTGTGTTGAGCTTACATGAGTAAAGGCATATGTTAAGCTATATGGCAGGGCTACTCCACTTATTGCCCACTATTTTACTCCACTTTAAGTTTAGAATGGTTAATGTTTTAGAAGAAAATACTGGTTGGGGCAAGGTAAACCTGGCACTTGGTGGGCAAAAAAGCTTCAACTTTGTCACCCCATTTGCCAAGGCTGATCTTATCCAACTATCAAGATCACAGGAAAGTTTAGGATCAGCAATGAGATTACAGAATGCCTGCAACAACAACTCTTTTTTGGGTAACATCAAGCAGGGATTTATAAACAATCTGTCCAAAATTTGAAGGTTTAAGAAGTTGTGGATAATATTGATCAAAATACAAGACAGGATAATTTGTGTTGGTATGGTACCATCTTTTGGATAAGAGAAACTGGTTTGAACTGTATCTTCTATAGAAAGGTGAGATACGATTTCATGAATGAGGCATTCAGGCAATTGAGAGATTTGATCCCCAGCAATATTCTTCCTCCGCTTCATTGGCAAATCTGGTTTATTGATGTGACTGGGGAGAATTAGAAGCATAAAATAATACCTGACTTTCAATAAGGATTCGACTAGGGAAGAAAAATTACCTGTGTATGTGGCTGCGGAGCTAGTTTGATTTTGAACTTTGATA